GGGGCCGGGCCTGAGTCCCCGCTTCGTGCAGCCGAGCCAGGGGCCGGGGGCCGGAACCGCCGCCGGGGCGGGCCGCAGCCGAGACAATGGGCATTTGGGAAGGAGCGTGGCTAAAATGTTCCCTCTCTCTCCTCCCCCCGTCTCCCCCTCTCCAGCCATCATGTTGACGCGGCTGTTCAGCGAGCCCAGCCTGCTCCCCGACGTGCAGAAATTCCCCAGCTGGGCGGAGGAGTGCGAGGAAGATGAGCGGAGCGACAAGGAGGAGCGGAAAGGTAAAAGCGCCCCGCTGCAGGAGGAGTCGCGGGAAGGCTCCTTGGGCGAAAACAAAGAGGACGGGGACCTAGGCGGGGACGAGGAGGAGGAGGAGGAGGAGGAAGAGGAAGGGGTGGAGGAGGCCGAAGGGGACCGGCCCAAGAAGCGCGGCCCGAAGAAGAGGAAGATGACCAAAGCCCGGCTGGAGCGCTCCAAGCTGCGGCGCCAGAAGGCCAACGCGCGGGAGCGGAACCGCATGCACGACCTGAACGCGGCGCTGGACAACCTGCGCAAGGTGGTGCCCTGCTACTCCAAGACGCAGAAACTCTCCAAGATCGAGACGCTGCGGCTGGCCAAGAACTACATCTGGGCGCTGTCCGAGATCCTGCGCTCGGGCAAGCGGCCCGACCTGGTCAGCTACGTGCAGACTTTGTGCAAGGGCCTGTCCCAGCCCACCACCAACCTGGTGGCCGGCTGCCTCCAGCTAAACTCCCGGAATTTCCTCACGGAGCAAGGCCAGGAGGCCGCGAGGTACCACGGCCCCAATTCTTCCTTTGCCCTGCACCCTTATACCTACCAGTGCTCCCGGCTCTCGGGCACGCAGTGCCAGTCCGGCACCATGGCCAGCTCCCACGCCTTGCGGACACATGCCTATTGCGCCACCTACGAGACCCTCTATGGGAACGCGTCCCCAGACTACAACAGCTCTGAGTACGACGCCCCCCTGAGCCCCCCACTGTGTATTAATGGCAACTTTTCCCTCAAGCAAGACTCTTCCCCGGACCACGAGAAAAACTACCACTATTCTATGCATTATTCTGCCCTGCCAAGCTCCCGGCCGGCCGGCCATAACTTGGTCTTCGGCTCCTCTGGGATGCGCGGGGGCGTGCACTCCGAGAACATGCTGCCTTACGACATGCATCTGCACCATGACAGAGGCCCCATGTACGAAGAGCTCAATGCGTTTTTCCATAATTAACCCCCTTGTGACCACTGAAATTTCACCCCCCCCCCACGACTGCACATAGCAACCCCCCCCAACCCACTTCCATTCTGCTCTAGGTTTTAAATGTCTCCTCCGCCCCAAAACTGTGAACGTACAATTGTTAGGTGTCTCCCCGTAACACACACACAAAGCTAGACTTTGCTCGGCTCACGGCTCTAGGTGAACTAGTCTCCCCTTTACTTGTCCCCCAAGGATAGCAGACCAGAACAGAGTATACACCGAAAAGAAAATTTACTTTGGTGCAATATATATATATATATAATGTAAAAAAAATATTATTAAAAAAGCTAACCTGCAGGTTTGCAGTCGATTGAAACAAGTGTCTATCATGGCCACATGGAAAGAGAGTTTTAGGGAGAAAAAAATGGAAAATTAGAAACCCCATCAATTTTTTTTAAAGGGACAAAATGTGGACAGTAAAAAATAAATGGGGGGAAAATAGAGAAATCGAGCAATCTTTCCTCCCCCGCAAAAGTAAAGTGTATTGTTTGGCAACACATCAAAGTAAATTTTAAACAATGCCAGCCCGTTGTTGTTTTTTTTTAATTTATCAGGAAGCTTTTAGAAGGGGTTATCTCAGAAAAGGGGAATTCTCTATTCTTTCCGAGGATTCAGTAAAAGATCCCATGGAAGTTTAATTAAGAAAAAAAAATGTTTGCAACTTCAAATCAGCATTTCAATGCAGTAAGAACTTTTAGAAGCAATAAAGAGGCAAACAGAAGATAAATATATATATCTATATATATCTATGCAAGTAGGTACTGAACTAGAAAAGTAAAACACAAAAGAATTCATATGGAATATTAGACTATGGACCAAGCAACTTGTTGAGGTTAAAAAGGTGCACTTTTTGATTTGAAGGGAACGGAATGTTTACGTTCCCTTCATTGTTAACAATCAGTGACTTCAGCTTTTTTGAACACCCTTGTACCACAAGTAACATATTTTCCAAATTGTGTGTCATGATGTTTTTTACCTGTTTTAAAAACTTTTAAAAAATAGAGGGGGGAAAAAAGATTTATATTAAATGGCAAAACTGTTTTGTTATGCATGGGTAGGAGCAAAAAAATGCAAATATGCAAATTATAAAGGTGGTGTGAAGAGAGCACTTATTATGCTATATATTTTAGTTGGCTATTTTTCCTATACTGAGGACTCTTTAAGTTATTTCTTTATGTAATGCATTTTTAGGGGAGGGAGGGAAAAATTTGTGTAACGAACACATCCGTATAAAAATATGGTAACAAGACCTGAACTGATGTATCCTGGTATATTTTTTGGTGCATTGATCTAATTTGTTTCATTATTATTTATTCCATTTTTAACACATTATTTAAATCAGGAGACATCGTTAACATATTTTTAAACCTGCCTACATCACCTTTAAACATACCAGCATTTTTAAATAAAAGCGAGGAAGAGAATTTCTGATAAATGTTTTAAAAAAGTTTTACAAAAAAAAAATTGTAGCAAAGGTGAAAATGTCTATCAGACACCAGAAGTGCTTTTTTGTGTTTCTGTTCAGTTTAATTGAGATTAATAAATATTTATGTCGAATGATATGCAAAAGACAAACCGTTTTTTACAGTGATGTAATTTTTTAAAAATCAGTATTGTTTTGCTATAATCATCTCCACAAAGTCTCTTGGTTTTACATACGTCCCAAAGTTATTCTACATTTTAGCTAGCGTCATAAGGCAGATTTTAAAAGGTTAGAAATGGCATCATATTTTTTATTTTGCCTTAAATCTCTCTGACACTATTTTTAAAAAAAAAGTGAAATCAAGAATGTGATGGTGTAAGTAAACAAAACAGATTCTGAGAAACTTACCAGAAACTAGGGGGGGGGAAGGGTGCTAACAAGCTAGAGAAGTTAAACAAAAGTACATAAATAAACTGCATGCATCAGTATAAAAAAAGAAAGTAAAATATTTTTCCAGACTCTAAACTCGTATTCAATTGGATGTTTTAAGTATTACTCACAGTGGAAATTTCCACGAGAACTGATATCTTATGTGAAATGCACCAGTATACTCATTTGACGTTAAGAGCAGCAGTCAGTTGTGATTTGATTCAAAAGTGTAATTAACAAGCGTCCTAAGACGACAATTAATAAATATTAAATGTTGACTCTGTCATGTTTACTAGTTTACTTGAAATACTCATGCTAAATATATATCCACGAGACCCCATTCTTTCAGCCAGAGCACTCTCGGAGTACTTTTTTGGAGTGAGTGGCAAAGGAGATCTCAGAACTACTCCACTCCCAGAAGCTTAACTTGTCTTCAAGGCAGCTGTCGATTGGCAACACGCTTAAAAATATATAGCGACTTTTGCAAGAGTCACATTCGATGTTATGAAGTTTAATGCAGTTTCCTTGTCGTGTACAGCTGGCATCTCCTTGTAACCCTTTTAAACAGTCTTTTTTCCTTTCCTTTATTCTGCACGCCAGTTGCGCGATAAATTCAGAACAAAAATATCTCTAAATACTGGTGCAATGCATGCATGGTTTGCCAAACAGGAGGAACAAAAACGTTTTTGGATAAGGTGCATAGGGTTTATATTTTAATATTCCGGCTTGCAGATTTTTTTTTTAAATATATAACAATTATCATTCTAAAGTACCCACCAGGAGCACTGATATCAAATCTCTATACACCAGGAAGGCACTGTAGAGATGGTGACAACCATATCACCCCCAAATAAATACAGAAATGCAATCTAGCTGGTCCTGATCGGCGACAGAGTCTGAGCCATTCGTGATGGCACCCGGAGTTACCCTAAGGGGCTGGCAAAGAAAGATCAAACGGTTGGTTCCTTTCCCCCCCGCCCCAGGCATTGTCTGAGAGCCGGGCAGAGTGACCAGGCAGACTCTGGGAGCTGTCCAGAGCTCCCTGGTGCTGAGCAAACAGCTCGCAGGCAACCCGAAGCCTCCCATTCAAAGGGGTCTTGGGAAGCCCAGACATCCCCAATCCTTGTGACATTGGATCCACCCTGGTCATTTCGTTCTCCCCACTCGCCTTGGCTCATAAACCCGGAGTCGTGTCTAGGGAGGGCAGAGGGGTTACTGTCCACACGTAACAACCAGGCATCAGGGAGAGTTCGACGGGCGCGTGGTTTGCGCTGCCAGCCGCACAAAAATGCCACACTGGCCAGCCAGGGAGAGAGCTGGAACCTGGGCAGTCCATGGAGGGGCAGGCAAAGGCCCCCTTCAAAACACGCGGAGGGAAATATCTCCCCAGGCTGACCGCTTCCTTTGCGGGAAGTCTGGGGAAGAGGCCCAAGCCAACAGGCGCCCTTGTAACCTCCCATGTGATGCGCCGCGGAGTTTGGCCAAAATTCAGACCAGTGGTTTTTGTTTGTTTTGTTTTGTTTTGTTCCCCCCCTCCCCAAACAAAGGAATAAGCCATCAGGGCAGGTAGAAAGATGAGCTTGAACTTACCTGCCATTAAAAACGGAGGGGGGGGGGAATAAATCGCACCTTTTATTTGAAGGCTAATTGAAGGGGTTTTTTTTCCCTATAACGCGCTGCGATCACTAAATGGTGCTCCGGAAGCAAGTGCTTAGTATTAGGTCTCAGTCTCTGGGGCTGGGGCTCGCCTGGACCGGGCAGCGGCCCCTATGGTTGGGAAAGAAGAAAGAGACGTGATTCGGGCGAAGTGGGGATTCACCCACGAAAGTTCATGCTCCAAAACCTCTGTTAGTCTATGAGGTGCCCCAGGACTCTTTGATTCTGGAACGAGTTAGCCAGTAGCAGTCAATCTATACAGCACCTCGGTGGGAGTTCACCCGCATCTCTCTCTCTCTCCACACACACACACACACCATGTTCACCCCCTATTTTCAAAGCTTTGAATTTGAGGCGGGGAAGCAAAGAATGAGCCTGCCCCCCGCCACAGAGCTGTGTGTGGACACACACGCAAGCCGGCAGCCCCGCACTCCCCGCAAAAGGAGGTGACCCAGGCTGGACTTTGACGTTTTGAACAAAGTTCGCCGGCATTTTCAAACCGACCTGCTCTGCGTGAATCCCAGACACGGGCAATTCTTAACAGACTTTGTGCTAGGGTCGCCCTTTGCTAGGAATGTGACTCCATCACACACACGTGTGCATGGTGCACGCCAGTGGACGGCTGTGTATACTGCGCACTATAGGTCCATGTCTATGTCATATATGATCGATCTACCATGTGTATAGACACGTGTCTGGTTCAGCTATATCGATCGCATCTTGATGGATCATATCGACAGCACATCGATAGTTAGCGCTACAACTCCGTTAGAAACCCATTCGGGGAGAGGGGGTCTCATGTTTTGCGGCGTGCCAGCGTCAAGATGAAAAGGGGAAAAAAAGGATTGGGGGAAGGAATCACTGGCGATTTCTGAATTTCAGAGGGAAAGGCGCAATGGCCGAATGAAAGGGAACAGGTCAAAAGGAAGGCGCGCAGCTGAAGACGCACTTAAGAAATTGGGTCTGGGTACCATGTGAGTAGCCCAGGAAATGTCACCTTTAAAGTTCGCACTAATTTGCTATTTGTAGGATGGGCTGAACGCCGCCCACCCCCCTTCTCTCCGAAGATGCGCGGGGCAGGTGAGGGTCCCCGCTGGGGAAAATCTGGGGTTCTTTTACTGCCAGAAAACTCCTTCCTCCAGGAAACCACCAAAAACAATAACGTGTTTCAACGATCTGAGTTTCAAATGCCCACCTTGGCTGGAAACGACCGCTGAAGGAGGAAAGACTTTTCTAGTCCCCCCGTGAGGGAAAGTGGGGAAAACCTCCCCCGCCTCACTAAAGCGCTCCACTATTGCACTCTTCAATTCAGCTCCCCGCCCCGGTCAGAAGCTCTGATGCCCACCCGCCCCAAGGACAGCAGGAAACCGAATCCATTTGCCGCCCCTCTGACTTCTGAATCCATCAAAATAGCCCCGCTAGAAACAGACACACCGCGACCCTCCGCGACCAGCGCTGAAAATTGGATTCGCGGCCACCCGGGCTCAGGCTGCGCCGGTTGGGTTGGGTTGGAAATGCTGCAGGAGCCGGCGCGGAAGTTTGGAAAGTCACTAAAAAAGGGGCTAATTTTAGGGACTTTGGAAGAGGGGGTCGGATGAAATCTGGGGGTGATCATTTCACCTGGAAGGCACCTCACCCCCCGCGTCCCTTTGCAAAATACAGTTTGCCTGTTTTGCGCAGTTCATTTCTTAACACCTCTTTCCAGACCCGCCTTCCGTACGGAATCTAAACACGACCCACACACCCCCGTTAGCGGTTTGAGCAAAAGGCACCCCAGCGAGGGCATTCCGCTGGATTTCATTTCCCTCTCTGGGCTTCCAGCCTTGCCGTTTTCCAAAGGGACAATTCGGGGTTTGAATTCGGGGCACTTCCCCCCCTAAAATTCATTCCTTTCCCCCGCCCAGTAAAGCGACTCGTTCAGACGGGTCACGGCTGAAATAAGTCATTCCAGCCTAAGGCGAAACTACATCGACTCCTTCTTTTTAGTTCTGGGAAGCAGATCAGAGCCAGGGTCCGCTGTGTGTCCCCCCAATACCATCGCCTCTCCCGAATAACTGGAATGTGTAGCTAGATTTGAATGTCAGCGGGTAGAATTATTTCCAGAGCGATTATTCAAACTTCCCCGTCTGTTCTACATTGTCAGTATCTACAGCGGCGGGGTGAAAGAACCTTCCCCCCAAAGCAATTCTACATAGAAACAATGTCTCGGTTGGTTTTATACAGTAGCCAGAATTACAGGTAGCAAAAAATTCGCCCAAGCACCAGCTTCTGGAGACGAAGCAAAACAAAACAAAAAAAGTTTTGCTCACTTTCCAACCTTTCTGGGGAAAGGGCAGGCTGTATTTTCAAAATCACATTTTCAAACATGAAAAATGCGCCCGTTCCTAACCAGGGCTCTATAACTATCTAGCTCGGGATCTTCCCCCTTGGGCTGAATTTAAAACAAAAAAAAGTGCTAACCTTTTCCGATTCCTACTTTCTGTAAAGCTAGCTTAGCGGTAACATTTCTAGTTCGCACGCAGCCTTTCACTGGTTCCGCAGTGGTAAAACCGAGGATTTCTTTTGGGAGTCTAATGCCAGGCGGTACTTCGTGCCAACTGCCAGCCAAGGGGCACTGCGGGGAAGAGGTTAGCCAGCTATCCTGATTCTAGGACATCTGTTCATTATATTGCAGTTTTAAAGGGAAAGGCCCCTGGTATGCGAGGCACACCCCAGCATACGTCCATTGCACTTAAACTGCCGGTTACAGCTGAGCAAAATCAAAGCATTCCGACCTGAGGAATGTACGGTGGAAGAGGGACCATGGCAAGAGGGGTATTTACAAAATTGGGGTGGGAAGGTGCGATGGGAAATGGGATTCATTTGCAAATGTTCGAAGGCTTCTATTTTTGTTAAGTCGCTTCCCTCCCACCCCTCATTTTTCTTTTTCTTCTGCCAAATTCCCAGACTTACAAATTCAACATTTTCTCCTTTTTCACCAGAGTTTGACATTATAAAATAAAACTCCCCGGGTTGTCCCCCTTTCTCCTTCAGAGCAGCTACTCTTTGCACCGATCCAGACTAGTTCCATATGGAATCAGCTGAGAAAATATTTAAAAAAAAATACGAAAATACAAACAATATTAGGTGGCCGACGGAAAGATGGGGATTGTTGATGTCACCTTGGTCTTATTGAAAAGAGGGCAAAAATTTCGTGCTGATGGTGGCACCAAAATAACTCGAAAGGATAGGGGAGATTAAGCTAAAACTCATCAAAGCTTAGATACGAGGGCTTCACATAGGACTCTACAATTAGATAGATAGATAGATAGATAGATAGATAGATAGATAGATAGATAGATAGATAGATAGATAGATAGATAGTGGGGTGTGTATGGGG